TTCTCGTTGTGGTAAGTAGACCAGCGACTATCACCGCTGCCGTTCCTTAATGAGAAATGTTGGTCCTATATTTGTCACAACTTGTGTTCTTTCCATAAAACAGCAACCCCAGCACAAGTCTGTCGAACAATGTACTCAATGGGTGGGATAGAGTAGCCCACGAGTATCACAGATGTGCCGTTGTCGCGGCTCGAAAGTGCGCGACAATGGCGCTAGGGCTTTACAAAGTGACTTATGGCGACTAATCCGTACATTATGGACGAGATACCTCGCGCACACTCTATACACACTCCGGCGGATTACGGAGTAGCGACTAATTTAGAGCGCTGGCTAGTGGAATTGTGGAGCGAGCAAGTTCGCACATCGTCACCAGGTACCCTACAGAAGGCAACGGTCAACAGAATCGTCCAGTCATCGCGCCGCCGCGTGCGGCCACCCGCGCGGCGTCGCAATGCGGCAATTTTCCGAAGGTTGCGGGATTTTTGAATTTGACGGTTGGAGCAGTTGATTGAAGTTGAATATCAAAGGGACGGGCCTGCTTCGTCCCTGTAACATTCAAATTCAGAATGACGCTCACAGAAACTCGTCCACTGCAGTTGCGACGTCGCGGCCACGACCAGTAGCGCGGGGATTTGGACGATTCTGTTGACATAACCCCCGACAGGAGGCCCGTCGCGCGGCTAAGCAGGCAGAGTCAGCGGAATGTACAATGTAGGACGCACAAATGCTACGTTCTGTTTAACTTGACGCGAAATCACCTACAGTACGCGCTGCGACTCGTCCGTTAACTCTGCCTGCTTGCCGCGCGACGGGTCCTCCTACCGGATACCCGCTCACCACCCCCTTCCTCATTGAAAGGATGAAGAGAGGGAACACTTGGTAATGGCTTAATTTCTTACGCTTTTAATGCTTCATGAGAAACCAAATGGTACCTTGAATGTCGTCGTTAAACGTGCAATAATCTTCCCGATACTTGTCCAAAAACTTGAATGCATTCGGAAACGCAAAGTCCTCAAACTGGACAAGGGTGTCGCGACCAAATCTGTAGCATACAAAGATCTCAGATAAAAGCATGTATATAGTAAAAGCTTAAAATGGTTCCGTAGATGCTGTTAAATGCTTATTACAGAGAAAATGTTGAAGGACACATTACAGTTATAAAATTTTAAATTTATTTGTAGGAAGTTCATTGCAATGAGGGCCATACTGGGTGTAAACAGTGACAGTGTAGAAACCGTGCAACAGGCCAAGAGGATCCCGACATCTCCATAGTCCAGAATGTATGGACTGGAGGTTAGCAGTGTTCACTCATCGTTGTTGTTCATCGACTTTCTCGATTCACTGCAAGATCTCAGGTAGTCTCAGACCTTAGGTTAGCTCTCTCACTGGCGGAAACAGTAGCTTCCCCCTCCCTCCCACCCCCCCCCCCCTCCCGGGTGGACCTTGCATTGGGAGGATTGTCGTACTTGCCTTTTTCAGGAGGGTGATCTTATTCGGACCTCCCTAGTCTGATGGTGGTGGAGGGCGGGGCCGTATCGAGCCCCTCTAAAAGGGGGTCGCCAACTTTTCGGATATTGGAACAACGCGCGGTTGACCCTGGCAACTCGTCCACCCCTCGTGGTGCATCTCTGCCTTCTCGCCGCACGATTGGTTTTCCGTCGGATGCCCCAAAAAATTTTGCATTGTACATCGTTTTTACTTCTTCTTACGTGGTAAGAGAGCTTAAAAAGTACGATTGTGCGAGTGCTGAAAGAAAAACTATGAAACGGATACTAAAGAGCTTCTGTTCAAAATTTTGTGTTGGCAACGTCGGAGAGGATTCACGGCAAACGTTTTTAGCTATAAAAGCTCTATGAATGTATAAGATACAACCAACTCACTTCTTTGTTACGGCTTTCATGAAATTGTCAACCAATCGTTCGTATTCCTCACCACGAACTCGTTTACGTCTGAGCCCGATGTACAATGGATCCTCGAGGTATTTCTTAAAAAGTGTACTTATTCCGGGAATAACTTAAAGGCAAACCCTAAGCCGGAGC